TAAAAAAAAGATATAGTCTTAACTAAATGATACAGAATTCTATTTTATTTATATAACTAGATTTATATTATAAAAATTTATATAAGAATTTTAAATTATAATTAATATCATTTATAGAAAATACATCTCATTCATTCCTCTAACATTAAACAATAAATATTTCCAATCTCTATTACCTTTACAATGACACCAGTTACACCCAAACAAAATTATATATAAAAAAAGAAACATATTAATACTTCATATCAACATCTACCTTTTGTTTTTATCTTTCTTTTTTATTACATTATTATAAAGTTTATATTTTGTTCTTAATGTATCATTTATTATTAATAACGGTTCATGTATCATTAAAAATAAAAAACGAATGTTTCGTCATATTTGACCTTTGACATTTGTATTTGATTCTACAAGTTGCCTTTAACCAAAATAGAAACCGAGCGAACAAAGGCTTCCATATTTGACAAAAACCAAATGCAGTGATAATGAAATTAAAAAAATCCATCACAAATTGTAGGATTGGTTTTTGTTGACCTTTAAAATGAATAAAAAAAGTCCCTTTTGGTTTTCATTGAATACAGAAACTCATCTAGAATTTGATTTTAGAAAGTAAGAGAAATGGTGAAGAAGAAATAAGAAAGACCAACATTTTAGTTACTTTTATAAGAGAAACAAAGTATTGTTAAATTTATTTTTTTAAGGAATTTATTGGAAAAAAAAACCTTAATATTACATTACCTCAACTAAAATAAGAGATTAACATAATTCTTAACCTAAAATATTAATACATTATACGTGGTTCAATTTTTTTATTTTTCTGAATGTGAAATTTAGATTCACGCTATTATCCATATTTTCATTAAAGTCAATAAAAGAGGAACAAAAAGTTTAGGCAACTTCAATCTCTGAATTGGTCAATGTCATACCCTGAGTTTAAAGAATTTAGACTAGGGTAGGGATTATGTATTTCCACTGTAACTCCGTTGATTCCTTGTTAATTATCTGAGTGCATGAAAACAATGTGGGTCGATTGAGGGCTGTTTTGGAGAAACATGGAACATTACAACACCGGTTGAGATTTTGGTTGATCGACAACCATAATCACTCAACTACTTGAAAAGGAAATCTGACTACGAAACCAAATTCCAATGAGCGCTGCATACACCACTACGTCGTCGTTAGAATCCTTATGGTGTGTCGGTAATTGGGTTGTGAGTGTTGCGAGATACAAACTGGCCGGGGTGTGTCAAATAGAGATTTTAGTCGCTATATGAATAATTAAGTTGAGAGTACCATCGACGGATCGTGTCCTCAAAATTTTATCTTATTTATAAATTTTTAATTTTGACCCCAAAATGAAGTGTCAAATTGGGCACATAAATATGAATAAAATAAATAGTTTATAATATATATATATATATTTATATTATAATTACTCTCCATATAATTCCACCTCGTTGAAATTTAAATTATATTTTCTCATCACATTTTTTAAAATATAAATAAGTTTGATGAAAAAGTATTGTTATTCTGTCTCCATCTTCCCAAGTTCTACAAAATATTTACTAAATATTTGTATATTGTAATTTACTATCTTTGTAGGTACCTCCATCGAGCATAGAATATCTTTGTACCTCCATCATCAGTGTCTAGATCAAAATACTTCCAAAGATATTCCGACCGACATTTAGAGAAGATCCAACTACATGAACCAAAGAAAGTTAGATTATTTAGTTTTGTAAGAACATTAATTAGTGTCCACCGTGAGATGATAATCAAGTTTTATTCTACTTGTACTCTTTAATCTTCATTTAAAAATTATGTTTTTTTATATTTATGGGTCACACATTACTTAAAAATTAAAATCAATAACAATTTATATATATATATATATATATATATATATATATATATATATATATATATATAATCATAGACGATACTTTTTAAACGAAAAATTTAAATAATATTATGTTGTTTGTCTAGTTTTATTGTTTAACTTTTTTAATGAGTTTAATTTTTATATTTTAATGAGACATTATTATAAATTTATGAAATTATAAAAATCAAATCATCTGAATTTTCAAAATAAAAATTCAATTATTTTCCTCAATGAACTTTAATTTATAAAAATTATATAATTTTTTTTCTTAGAATAATTAGATTTCAAAATTTATATAAGATTTATATTTTGATATTTAATTAATGTTATATTTGTTTTGTAACAACGTAACTTTTAATGTCGCATTAATTATTTTTATCAATTAATATTAACGCTTGTCCTTAAACTTAAAAATATATCCTTATTTATTTCATGAAAAAAATTATAATCTTTTAAAAAATTGTATCTTTTATTGTATAGAATTTATTTAATCAATTTTTACATTTTTTTTTAAAATATTTAATTTTAAAAATATTAATTAATTCATTATCGTAAAATTAAATAAATCATAATATATATATATATATATATATATATATATATAAACAGTTTTTATATATGTTTCATTATAAAATTAGATATAAATATTAATAAATTCATTATATTTTAATAATTGATATTATTCAATTATTGATAGATTTTTCAAAATATTGATAATTTTATTTTATATTCTATATTATTGATGGAATTTTTCAGAAAAATAAACAAAACTTTTCAACACATATTTTCAGTTGATACATATAAGACTTATCTATCTACTTAAAAATTATCGATGAAAAAAATATGGCAATAATATAAATTTACTGACTGATTTATTTTCAGTTCATAAAAGTTATACGTTTTCTTATGCTATTACTTAAAATAAACACCACCAATCATTCAATCCTATTATAAGTTAATTACATATTATAATATTCTGTTAAAACTAAGTTGAAATCTGACAAAAAAAATCTTGAGTTTAGTAAGAATAATAAATGGCCAGAAAGAAAATAGTTGCTAAATTTCAATTATCACTAACATATCTGACTATATATGCTTTATGCATTTATTAGAAGTAGTTCCAAATAAAGTTGAATGAAATGTTTTTGTTTTCACTGTCTTACACAACAAATACAAATTACTGTACTCAATAAATAATTCAAAATAAATTAAGTATACATAAACAATTAAAAACTGGGGAAAAATTAAAATATTTATTTACTTTCACTTTATGGAAAATATATTTTCTTCAAAAATAAAATTTAAATTTAGAGATTTGACACACTCTTCATGCAAAATCTAAAATATTCATAATCTAAATATAAAATAAAATATTTAATTAAAATTACCATAATTATAAAATATTTTAATAATCTTATCAAATAAAGATGTGTTATTTTATAAATAAATTATATATATATATATATATATATTAAAGAATTAATGTATTTGAGTTTATATTTATTTAGTTATTTATTTAGACATATTTTTATTATTGGTTAAACTTTATTAAAATTTAAAATAAAATAAAAAACTTCTTATTTAATTAGTCTCTCAGATCATATATCCAAAGAGTTCATGTCTGAATTACTTAAAAAATAAAAAAAGTTAAAATTGGAAAAGTATTAAGGGTTAACCAAATTTTAACTAACTCAACTATAAGATTTATGATAAATATTTAATTTTATCTTTAAACCGTTAAAAACTCCTTTTACTCGTCTAATCTTACAATTTGTGATAAACTTTAACTAATTAAATAAGAACGCGTGTTAAAGGAGTTTATTAAACTATATATCTTCCTACCACTTCTCTATTGAACTTCAGAGATAACTTAAATATATATGGAGTTTAAAATACTAGAACGAGGTGCATGCTATATGACTATGGCATTAAGGTAATAATAGAGTTGCTTTCCATAATCTTTGATTAAAATCAATTTTCGTAATTAACGACACAATTCATACACTTGATCCGCATAAAAGCTTAAACAAATTCAAACACCTACTCACTTTCAATGCGGAAGAGTTGTGAACAACAATAAAAGAAAAATATAATAACAGAGACATTTTGAAATTTGTTTAACTTTGGGAAGAGTTGTGAAATATTCTTAGAGATTCGATTTGAATGGAACGTGATTTGGTGTGAAGTAAAACGTGAATATTCTTCAATGTGGCCACGTGCAACACTTCGGTTTGTGCACCAATCGCTTACTTCAGTCAAACACTACGGTAATATATTAAATTAAGATAAATTAAAACCATGTTTTTTTAATGACTTTTATGTTTTCTTTTTTAATGATTCTTATATTTTTTTAGTGGAGTTGCTCAATCAACTAACTTTTTGCTGAAATATTTTGATCAATTTTCTTTTCTAATATATTTTTATTTACACAATTTGAATTTAGAATATTATTTAAAAATTAATTATCTTATTATTGATGATATTAATAGTCACGTGATTATTTTCTGTAAAATACTATTTCTCTCGTCCATTTAGTCGATAAAAAGATTAAAAATATAAGTTTTAATAAATGACTCATAATTATTTTGGTTGATTCATATAAAATTGTTGGTATATTATTATTGCTTTTCAACTATAACAGTGAGAAAGCCATAGTCATTTAAACTATAACAATTATTGACTATTAAGATAATTAATAATGCAATAATTTCATTTCACGTTTTCAGATATATTTTACTTCATTTTAAGTACGTCTTTTTATATTATATTATCAATAAAAAATTATAGCATCTACATTTTCATAAATTTTATTTCTATTTCATTTTTAATTTTAAAAATTAGTTTAATAATTGTCTTAAATATTTTCTATTCCGTCAGTATAATTATACTAGATCAAAATATTTTAAATTTAAGATCCTCACTATATTATATTAATATATTTTAATGAGATTTTTTATAAGACAAAATCTTACATTTAAGATCATCACTTTATTAAAATTTCTTACATTATCTATTTCGTACAACTGAAAATTTTTTGTGCAGCTAGGGTGGAAACCTAGACCATCTTCTCATTTGTCTTTGACTAGTTGTTCCTCCAAGGCTTTCGTTATAAAACCCAATGCTGATCTTACACAACAGACTCACTAAAAAATCATCTTTGTTTGTTGTTCGATCACCATCGTTGAGAAAGTTAACAATGGAACTCCTTTCTCCTCATAGAATACAACTATCCATATTTCCCATTGTTGTTGTGTTGCTTTCTACGATTGCATGGCCAGCTTCAGCTGCAAATTCAGCTAACAACACTTTTCTCCATTGCCTTATAAACCATTCAGATCCCTCTCACCCCATAACTCCAGCAATTTTTACACCAAACAACGCCTCATTCTCTTCAGTTTTGGACGCATACGTCAGAAACCTTCGTTTCAACACCTCCACAACCCGGAAGCCATTGCTTATAGTAACTGCATTGCATGTATCCCATATACAAGCATCCATTATTTGTGCGCAGAAGTACAACTTGCAAATGAGAATCCGAAGTGGAGGCCATGACTATGAGGGCTTGTCCTACGTGGCTGAGGTCCCCTTCTTCATCCTTGACATGTTCAATCTTCGGACCATTGAGGTTGACATAGCCAACGAGTCCGCTTGGGTCCAAGCTGGTACAACGCTTGGTGAGGTTTATTACAGTATTGCTAATAAGAGTAAAATTCATGGTTTTCCAGCAGGGGTTGGTCCCACTGTTGGGGTAGGAGGCCACATAAGTGGTGCTGGGTATGGAAATATGATTAGAAAATATGGTCTCTCGGTGGATAATGTTGTTGATGCACAAATGGTTGATGTTCAAGGTAGATTGCTTGGTAGAAAATCTATGGGTGAAGATCTCTTTTGGGCCATCACAGGTGGTGGTGGATCTAGCTTTGGTGTGGTCCTTGCCTACAAATTAAAGTTAGTTCGAGTTCCTGAAACAGTCACTGTTTTCCAAGTTAGTAGGACCTTGGAGCAAAACGCCACCGATATTGTCTATAGCTGGCAGCATGTTGCACCAACTATCGACAACAACCTTTTCATTAGACTTATCTTGGACGTTGTAAACGGTACACAAAGTGGAACAAAGACTGTAAGAGCTTCTTTCATAGCTCAATACCTCGGTGACTCCAAAAGCCTTGTTTCTCTCTTGAATGAGAAGTTCCCTCTACTGGGTTTGAAGCAATCTGACTGCATCGAGACAAGCTGGCTTCGTTCGGTGCTGTTTTGGACAAACATCAACATTACAGCGCCTGTTGAGATTTTGCTTGATAGACAGCCACAATCACCTGTCAACTTCTTGAAAAGGAAATCTGACTATGTACAGAAAACAATTTCCAAAGAGGGTTTTGAAGGGATTTGGAAGAAGATGATCGAGTTGGAGGATATACTGTTTCAATTCAATCCTTATGGTGGAATAATGGATGAAATTCCATCAACAGCAAAACCTTTCCCTCATCGAGCAGGGAACATATGGAAGATTCAATACCAAGCGAATTGGAATCGGCCAGGGAAAGAGGTAACAGATCACTACATAAATTTGACAAGAGAACTTCACAAGTACATGACTCCTTTTGTCTCCAAGAATCCAAGAGAGGCTTTCTACAATTATCAGGACCTTGACTTGGGAATTAACCACAATGGTAACAACAACTATGCTGAAGGAAGTGTTTACGGAGTGGAGTATTTCAAGGATAACTTCAACAGGTTGGTTGAAATAAAGACCAAGGTTGATCCTGATAATTTCTTTAGGAACGAGCAAAGCATCCCTACACTGCCAAATCTGAATAGTTATCAGTCTTACTAATTTCTGTACTTTGTTTGTTACTTATTTCTGGGATTGTGAAACTAAATAAGGTGGTGTTTAAAGCTAGTTATGATGTAAGTTCAACAGGCATGGAGACTTCTGCATGCAAATAAGTATGGCTGGTAATTTGTTTGATCTGCTGTTAAACTCTGAAATAGCTGTTTTTAACCGTGTACATCTTGGCAGGGGTGACCATACAATCCTTTAAATAATTCACTTTTATTAATATAATAATTTATTAAATAATTTAATAAAAATAAATTAAAACTATTATTATAATATTAAAAAAATAATTATTTATAGAAGTTATTTAATTTGTCAAATTATCATTTTTCATATTTAAATATTTATATGTAGACTATTAATAAATAAAAAATCATATACAGAAATTATTATGACGCCGATGCTACGTTACGCAATCACTGAAAGACCATGGTAGAAGCAATGGTGGAGCTGACGTAGGCACTTTGGTAGTGGAAGGAAGAGAAGGGATGAATAGTTAGGGTTGAAATCCGTGTTGGAAGGAAAGGGTTGTTACAGGCTAAAATATAATTAACTTATATTAATTTTTTAATTTATATTAATATTTATGATTTTTTTAATTTTAAAACTTAATAATATTTATAATTTTAAATCAAAATTTAATTATTATTAAAAATATATATATAATTTTAATTTTTAATTTTTTTATATTTATTTATTATTTATTAATAATATATTATATGAATATTTCAGTTATGAATATCAATGTCAATGGTGGTTGGTATTAGTGGAAAGACGAGGATCATGAGTACAATGACATGGGAAAATGGAATTAGGGAAAATCAAATTTCAGTGCTATAAATTGAACATGAGAATATTGTGATTGTATTGTAGGTGCTAATTAAACATGAGAATATTTTTGTCATTGTTTATATATAATACAAGAGATTGGTAGAACGTTAACATAGGATAATAATTTACAGGCAGAGGATTCCCTCAACTGGTATAAGATATCTGATCCAAATTAAATTATTATTGTTAGATTGATATTTGATATATTAACAATAGATTAATTTTCTATATTCACCCTAACAGTTTAAATATGTATATTCTAATTAATTTTTATAAAATAAAGATATTATATTAACAAACCCTAATTCAACCCTTAAGTTCCCCCTCTATCCATGAACCAGTGAATGAATTATTTTTAAAATATTTAATGATACTATTTAGGTGTTAATTATACTGTTTAATAAAACATTTTTTACACTGAAGAATTGTATTGGGATGTATTAATTATAACCTAAATGTTGTTCTTAGTTATCTCTTCTTCACATAGTGTATAATAAAGGCGTATTCATATGCATCCCAATAAATATCATTTGTAGAAAATATATCTCACTCACTCCTCTAAACCATCAATATTTTTTATTACATTATTATAAAATTTATATTTTGTTCTTAATGTCTCACTTATTATTATAACGGTTCATGTATCATTTGACTTTTGACTTTTGTATTTGATTGTAGGAGTTGGCTTTAACCAAAATAGAATTAGAGACAGCAAAGGCTTCCATATTTGACAAAAATCAAGTTCAATAGGTAATAATTTGTCTCTCTTTCTTATCCACACTATCATTAGTCAACCAAGAATTTAAAGAAAAAAATATCTTTTTTATTTTTAATTTGTTTTAATCTTGGAAAAGATATTCATACAACAAAACTATCTTACAACTACATATGGATTTTGTTCTGACGTCTTTTTCTTTAGTTGTTAGATGTTATTAATCATGTCTATATATTTATATATTTCTGTCTCTTTTTTATTATTATTTTTTCTTTGTCTATACCTTCATTTCACTTCTACACTTTTCTTCTTAAAAAATAGGCCTTTTAACATTTTGCTTGGTAAATAAAATGTTACTACAAGAAAAAACACATTTAGTCACTGAAATTAGCGACCGAATTTTTTCGGTCGCAATTAGCGACCGATTTAGCGACCAAAATATGATTTATTTTGCACTTTTTTATTTAGCGACCGAAATAACGACGAATATTTTGGGTCGCAAAATTTTGGTCGCTAAATCGGTGGGTATTTCATACTAAAATAAAAAAATCATTTAGCGACTGATTTAGTGACCAAATTACAAATTGAAATAGTGACCGAATTAAAATCGGTCAGCTAATGAGAAAATAGCGACCGAATTGAAATCGAGTCGCTAATGAATATTATTTTTTTATTATATTTAATTTTTTTTATAAATATACTTTAATTGTTTTAGTATATTTTTTACAATTTATTTTTTAAAAGTAATTTATTTTTTAAAAATATTTAATTTTTAAAATATACTTTAAAAATAAACTTTGGTCTCAATATTAACAAAATGAATTGTAATAAATCAAATTTATTAAAAATTTAAATTGTAATAAATTAAGACTAGAGTGATGTTAACTATTCAATACATTGTTTAAGAAAAGTTTAATAACAAATATTCTTGAATTTATTTTTCAATTGAAATTAAATTATATTTTAAAAATTTATATTAAAAAATTGAAGAAAATAGAGATTTAATTATACTTTTAATAAATTTAACATAATAATAGTTTTGATTTTTATTTTTAAATATTTATTTTAATTTTTTAAAACAGAGAAACTATAATTTTAGTTTCTAAATACTAAATTTAAAGAATTAAATTTATTATTATTTAATCTTTTAATTTTAGTATTAAAAATTTAAATGATATTTTATTAAATTAAAATAATATTACAATATATTTTTCTACTTTGAGAATGAAAAATATAATTAAACTAAAACTAAAAATATTATAATACATTTTTGAACTCTTTTTTATTAATTTTTTTTCCTAATTTTTATAAAGTCAATTTTAATATTTAAAAGTATTTAACATTTTGCTTTCCGAAATGTTTTCTGTATTACCAAATTCCAGCTCTTAATAACCTCTACAACCAAATTCTAGTCTGCAGAGAAACCGAGTGCCCAAATTCCAGGCACCAAACAATACAAAAAGAATGTAAAGAAATGAAAAAGAAGAAACTAGAATGCTCAAACCAGTTTATGCAATTCTGCTGTAAGTGTTTCTTCTTCAAAAGAAATCAAGTTGCCTCAAGAAAGATTTTCAAAGAACTTCTCAAAAGCTGATGCGAATATTTCCTGAAAAGAGTCTTGAAGTTTGCTTGATTGCTCAAGGATGTGTAAAAGATGATATTCAATGTATGTTAAAAAAGTTCAAGCCAAACTGTTTTTATAGAAGATTTTCAAAGCTATTGGTTTAATTAATCTGTTAAAGGATTCTTTTAATCTGTTAAAAGTGCAGTTTTAATCTGTTAAAACTTCTTTTAATCCATTAATACGTTCTTGATTCTTTAACATATTTGTTTTAAGCGATACTGACAACGTTTATATCAATTAAAACACTTTACAAAAAATCTTCTAAGTTGATTTAATCGATTGTTTCAGCGATTCAATCGATTGAAATACTTGCAAAACTTTCTTGTAAAACTTTTCAAGTTATTTTAAGCTGATAAAAATAAGTTTTAATCGATTAAAATCGTTGTGTAGAAATTTTTAAGTTGTTTTAATCGATTGAAACGAGATTTAATCGATTAAAAGAGTTCGATCGGTCATAACTAAATTTTGATTGATCATAAGCTGATTCTGATCGGTCATAATTGCATTCTGATCGATCATCCTGAACCCTTAAGTGGTTTTAATCGATTAAAATCAAGTTGTATCGATTAAAATATTGTAAAAACATTTCACTTGACATTTTAAGTAATTTTAATCGGTTCTATGAAAGTTGTATCAGTTAAAAACTTGTTTGAGAAAGTTTTTGTCAAAATACTTTGTTTTTAATTGTTAAAAACATTTTTAGAGGCATTTTGCAAAATCTTTTAAGTGAAGAAACCTCATGCAACAAAAATCTTTTAATTTTAGTATTAAAAATTTAAATTATATTTTATTAAATTAAAATAATTACAATATATTTTTCTACTTTGAGAATGAACAATATAATTAAACTCAAAATTGACAATATTATAATACATTTTTGAACTCTTTTGGATTAATTTTTTTTCCTAATTTTTGATAAAGTTAATTTTAATATTTAAAAGTATTTAACATTTTGAATTATGAAAGGTTTTCTCTAATAGCAAATTTAAAAACATAATATTCAAAAAAATAGTTAATGTAAGTTTTCATTATGATCAATTATAATTAGAAATGATAGATCATAATTGAGAAGATATGATAGCGGTTCCACGTTAACAGCTATCTAAACTATAATTTAGATAGCGGTTAAGGGTTAACCGCTATTATAAGTGCGCTTTTAAGAGTGGTTCCTGTGGAACCGCTATCTAAAATGTATTTCGCTTGAGCGACAATGGTCTCGCTCGAGCGAAACGCCCACTGCACAAAATTGGCATTCTCGGATTGTATTTCGCTTGAGCGACTATAGTCTCGCTCGAGCGATATCCGATGAAAAAATGTATCAATAAATAAATAAAATATAGTTAGATAGCGGTTAAGGTTTAACCGCTATTAGAAGTGCTCTTTAAGAGCGGTTCAAGTGGAACCGCTATCATATACAACCAGATTTTTTGAATCTGATCGATTAGATTTTCAAAATGATCGATCATATTTGATAATTTTTTCAAAGAATTAATTATAATCGATTAGTTTTCTAAATTATTGATTAGAATTGATTAGTTTTTCAAATAATAGATTAGAATTGATTAATTTCTGAAATATATACTAAAAAATTATAATTAAAAATATAAATTATTTAAGAATATTGACTATTGTTAAGATAAAGTTGAACATGGGAGGAGATGAGGATGATAATATAATGATAGAAGTTACAAAAATGTAGAATTGAGAAGTTTGAAACAAAAAAAATTAAGAAAATAGAGATTTAATTACACTTTTAATAAATTGAAGATAATACTAGTTTTGATTTCTATTTTTAACTATTTATCTTAATTATTTAAAACAGAGAAA